CGGTGCCTTGTCTCCTTTAGCGTACTATAAATACTTGTGTAACCCTCATAGGAAGGGATCCAATTTCTTTTCACTAAAATTCTTGTGTAAAATATGGCACGACATGAAACACTCATTGATGACATTTTTGCATATGCTATAGCTATGGATGTACTAAATGATAATGATTATATATCTAAAACTCTAGAAGAGTGCATTCACAAGAATGATTGGCCAAAATGGCAAGAGGCCGTGAACGGCTAAACACCCATAGACGTCAAACGAATGGGTTATAAATGAGTGTTTGCAATAAAAAGAAATGAAAAGAATGAGATTATGCGATATAAGGAATGACTTGTAGCACAAGGGTTTTCCCAAATCCCAAGAGTTGATTATGAGTAAACATATTCCCCTGTAGTTGATATGCACATATTTTATACACTTTTTAGACATATTTTGAAGGAGTTTTGAGTCCCAATTGAATTTAATATTTATATTTTATTTAATTTTCCGTTTTATTTTGGGAAAGCAGTCCTATGCTTGGTTTTATATGTTTTGCAGGTATTTTGAGGCCATTTGGACGCATTGAGAACAATTTCAAGAACGGAAAATAAACATGGAAGTTTGGGACCAAAATAAATGGAAGAGATTTGAAGGGAGAAAGGAATTAAACAAAAATAAAGCATAAAACACCCCTGGGATTCGAACTCTAGACGTGCGCATGTGGAACATGAGCTCTGACCATCGCGCCAAAGCATATTATTCGGCATATTGCTGGCGGACACGGATAATGTTCTGAATTTAAATTCGGCCATGATTTGAGAGAAAAATGACAAAACACCGACACTGGATGGGGAATCAAACACAGGATCAAGTGACAAGACAAACAGCCTCATTTCCATGTGGGCTACTGTACCTGTATTGACAATTGGTGCACTGTTTCTATATAATCCGTATATACGGATTCACCTATAAAAACACCTCCCTTCTCTTCTTCTAGAGAGGTTGGAACTCCCCACTTCTCACTCCATTTCCGAATTTCTTCTTCTTCCTCACTAATATCTCACCACTTTCTTCATCCAAACACATAAAAATTACTCTATCTTCATCATCATTTATCATATTTGGAGCTCAAGAACACATCTTCCCTTTTGTAAGATTTTTATGTTTGTAATAAATATTTATTTGTTTAAGCTCCAAACTATGAACTTCTAAATTCCATTGGGGTTAGAAGTTGGTGTAATTAATTNCCTCACTAATATCTCACCACTTTCTTCATCCAAACACATAAAAATTACTCTATCTTCATCATCATTTATCATATTTGGAGCTCAAGAACACATCTTCCCTTTTGTAAGATTTTTATGTTTGTAATAAATATTTATTTGTTTAAGCTCCAAACTATGAACTTCTAAATTCCATTGGGGTTAGAAGTTGGTGTAATTAATTGTCCATCTTAATGTTTTAAATATTTTTAACATGGATTGTTGATTTTATTTTTACTTAGATGTTGTATTTAAAAATGAATAAATTTGGAATGTTTGTGATTTTTAATTAAGGGCCCAATCATAAACATAATTGTTAAAAAGGAATTTGAGCTAAAATTGAAATAATCATAAAATCGAACACTTTTTAATTACACCGTAAGCCTTCTCTACCTTTAACCGGGATTGAAGACTTTCGGGTGAACATAATTATTGAGTTGTATTTTTACACCATTAAATTGGGTAAACATACAATAAAATAATTATGGTTGCCGTTGTTACTAAATAATTACTCCGGATTTATCATTAGCGTGTTAAAGTCGGAGTGGTTATTATTTAGGTGAACTGCGAGAGTGTCCCTAAATACTTTTCTGCAACCCCACACATTCTATATAAAAATAAATTAACAATCCAACTTTTATAAAAGCATTGGACAATTAATTTACCAATTTCTACCCCTAACTTTTCATCATCAAAAACATTGTATTGTTTGGAACTCTCTCTTTTTACACTTTTTATTTTATCTCTAAAACCAAAAAGACCAAAAATATTTTACAACTTCTTTTGTAAACTTTTGTTTAAATTAAATTAACTCACGTCTCCCTGAGGTTCGACACCCTACTTACAAGGGTTCTTTTTAGTTGTTAGTTTTGCCCGTTCTATAGTGTAAATCAGTAGTCAATGTGATAACCCTTAGATTTTAAATTAGCTACGCAATCTGAGAAGAACTTCAGATGAAACTTATGGATGTTGCCACAACATACTTATATGAAATATTTTAGAATAACGTCTATATGAAAATCTCTAAAGGATTCAAAATGCGAGAAGTATTAAAGTCAGTATCTCGAGACATGTGTGCTATAAAACTCAAAAGATCTTTATATGATCTCAAGCAATCTGGTCGTATGTGATACAATCAACTTAGTGAATATATTGAAAAGCATGACTTTAAATCTGATGTAATTAGCCTATGTGTTTTCATAAAAAGATCACTATCTAAATTCACTATTGTAGTAGTTTATGTTAAGGATATAAACAGCATTGGATCTCCTGAAAAGATAGAAAAAATGTTGAACTCTTGAAGAGGGAATTTGAGGTGAAAGATCTTGACACACCAAAATTATGTCTCCTTTAAAAATTGAAGATTTGTGCAATGGCACATTTATCCATCAGTCAAACTACATTTAGAAGATGTTAGTACGTTTTAATATGGGAAAAGTACATTCGTTGAGTGTACCCATGGTTGTGTGATCCTTAGATATACATAAATATCCTTATCGCCCCCAAGAAGAAAGTGAAAAAGAACTTGGACCAGAAGTACCAGTGTAATCGGTGCACTCATGTATCTTGCAAACAATGCAATGCCTGATGTTTCATTCTCAGTACATTTATTGGCAAGAATTGGTTCAAACCCAACACGTAGACATTGGAATGTGATAAAGCAAATATTCTGATATATTTGTGGGACGCGAGACTTAGGTTTCTTCTACCAGAAGGATGAAAAGTCCCAACTTATAGGGTATGCTGATGCTAGGAATCTATCATATCCACACAATACATGTTCTCAAACAGGTTATGTGTTCACATACGATGGTAAAACAATTTCCTGAAAGTGAACAAAGTAAACTCTAACAGCAACATCATCAAATCAAGCTAAATTGGTAGCACTTTATAAAGCTGATCAAGAGTGTGTCTAGTTGAGATCGATGATTGATCATATACAAGGAGCACGCAGTTTGGAAGAAATCAAGAATAATCCTACACTTTACCTCCTCACATGTATGTAAAAATTATCCAAGCTTTGATGTAAAGTACTCAGTTTACAGCAATACATAAAATATTTTGTGGCCTTTTAGGTATGCATTGACTAGTTCATATGGTTGGAGCATTGTGGTACTCCCTCCGTCCCTTAAAGATTACCATAGTTTGACTTTTTTGGTCAAACTATGTTACCCTTTGACCATGAATTAAATCTAGTTTAAAATGATTAAATATTATAAAAATTTGATATTTCAAAACTATGTTTTAAAATAAACCCAATTTTGCTAAATTTACAATATAAGTAAATGTACTTTTTCCATAATTCGCGATCAATGGGTGCTATAATTTAAAAAAATGTCCAATTGTGGCAATCTTTTAGGGACGGAGGGAGTATGATATTGTAAAATCTAGGTTCAATGATAAATATCTTCATTTCACTTTTTAAGCTGAAAATTTTGAAATAATGGTTTAAACTTAAACCTACGAACTTGCCACGTTGATCGAGGTCACTCAGTTTGTTGGGTTTGACGGGTTTTAGATATGGTTGTAAACGAACCGCATCGAATATTCATGAATAATAATTGTATTCGTTAAGATAAAGTGATATTTGAATTCGAATTCGGTTCGAATATTTTTTAAAAATCATATTCGGTTCGTTTAATATATTGAACATATTTGGTTCGTTTAAAAATTCGGTTCGTTTATATATATTTAGCTTGTTTAAAAATATTTGATTCATTTAGATATTCAAATATTTTATAACCATTTAATCTATTTATGAGCTATTATTTATATATGTACACACACATGAATATGATGCTTTAGATTGTGAGATCTAAGGGTCAGGATTGCATCAAAATTAGATGCACCAAAATGGTTTGAAAATGCATCATGTCGAAATGCACCAAAATGCTTTGAAAATGCACTCTGCGCAAGATGCAATCTGAGCCGCACGATGCATCAGATCCAACGGTTAGATATATATATATATATATATATATATATATATATATATATATATATATATATATATATATATATATATATATATATATATATATATATATATAACGCAAGATGCAATCTGAGATGACACCTTACGGTGCGATGACATGCTTCGGTCACATGACACAAAGCTCACCACACTACACTACAAAGCTCACCAATGGACAATGCAAAGCTCACCTGAAAATAAAGCAAAGCTCACCACTTTGAACACCAAAACTCACCTTTTTTTAATTTTGAAAATTAAAAAATTAATTAAAAATAAAATAGCAACACCAGTCAACCACCGGTCAACGTCGGCCGCAGGCGGCGGAGCAGCGGCGGTGACCGGCGGCGGCCGGAGACCAGGGTATGGAGGCGGCGGTGACCGGCGGTCAATGTTGGAGTCAACGGTCAAAGTCTAGTCAGCACTGTAGTTGTGCTTGGTGAGCTTTGCCTTACAGTTTGGTGAGCTTTGTAGTTGTGCTTGGTGAGCTTTGCAGTGGGCAGTGGTGAGTTTTGCGTCATCTGACCGAAGCATGTCATCGCACCATAAGGTGTCATCTCATTTGAGTCAATCCCATATTTTTTTTTCAAAGGATTTTTATTAAAGTGAAAAAAGTTACAATACGTTTGGGGAGGGCAAGACCTAGCCCCAAAGGTGTAAAGGAAGAAAGGAGGATAATGTGTTTAACGATTACAAACTGGTAAAATTAAACTAAGGATGCCAGCAGATGTCTTCCATTAAGCCAAAAGAAATCTGCTCTCCAGAATGCATTGTTTTGATTTGGTCCCTTAATTAGCCATTTTTTCCTCCTATTTACCCAGCACCACCTTTGGATAAGAGAGGTTACAGTTCTGATCAGGCCATGAATGTTGTTTTGCCTATCTTCATGGAGGGCCGAGGTGTGATTCTTCCAAAGGATCCATGCAATAAAACCAGGTACCACTGCACGTAAGTTACCTTCTAATCCTTTTCCCCTTGCACTTGTCCACCATTGGAGTAGGTAATGTTGGATTGTACTGTTGGATGAGGGTAATGGTCCATCTAACAGTAGTGCGTAGTATTTCCATAAATCCATGGAAGTGGGACAATGCAAAAGCGTGTGGTTACATCCATCTTCATTTCTCATGCATGCTAAACATATCCCTCGTACAGGGATAGAGAGAGTTCGTACATTAGGTGTGAAGGGGAGGGCATTGTGATGGACTTTCCAGAGGAAGAGCTTGATGTTTGGTGTCTGATATTTGTGCCAAATAAATTTGTTCTGTATCTGGGGTGGGACAGGTTGCAGGGTAGAGAGATAGGCTGCTTTCAGGGTGAAATCTTTTTCCATCCATTTTAGTGTGCCATCCGTCATGGTTGTGTGTTCAGTTGCCGTTGCATTTACTCTAAAGATCCTCTTCCAAACCGCAGAGTCTGGAAGCCTTTCCTTAAAGATGTTGCTTTTGAGGTATTTCCTGCGCATGAATGTTGCCCAAAGTCCTTGGTCAGATCTGATCTTTGCCCATAGTTTGTATGAGTAGGCTTGATGTATGTGGTGAAGAGCACGAATTCCTAAGCCCCCAAAATCTGTGGGGACACAAATCTCTTTCCAGCTGACCCAGTGGTGCTTCCTTTTTCCATCTTTAACACCCCAGAGAAAACGAGCCATCCTTTGGTGTAGAGAATTGATTATGGATTGGGGGAGTGTATGGACTGCAATGGTATGAAGTGGGATGGAGGAGAGTACATGTTTAATTAGTATCAATCTGCCCATGGGGTTGAGTGTCTTGNTGTACCAAGAGCTGAGGTGACTATCAAAATGATCAAGTAGGGTGCCACAATGGTGTTTCTTCAGCTTTCCCTTTGTGATTGTAGCTCCTAAGTATTGCAACGGTGTTATTCCTTGCTTCATCTCTAGTGCTCTTGTTGTTGCTGTAATGGCTGCTTGCCTTGCATGTTTCCCACAGTAGAATCTGCTTTTGTTGAGGTTTATGTCCTGGCCAGAAGCTTGAAGATAGGTGTTGATGATCCCTTTGAGCCGGAGAACATTCCTATAGTGACCATTGGCAAATATAATTAAATCGTCTGCATAAGCTAGGTGTGAAATCCTTGGAACCTGTCCTGCATTAAAAGGGGTTAGATAAGAATTGTTTAGGTGGTGATTGAAGGTGCGGGTGAGGCCTTCTGTTGCAAGGATATAGAGCAAGGGAGATAGTGGATCTCCTTGTTTAATGCCCCTCTCCATGGGGAAAAAACCTACTGGTTGTCCATAGACCTGGCAAAAAGTGACCCGACCTGTTTTTGACCCGAAACCCGACCTGAAAACACTGGGTTTTGAACAAAGGTTTTGATGACCGAACCCGAAGTTGACTGAACCCGAAATGACCCGCTAAAAATGGGTCAAACCCGACCTAACCCGAACCCGACCTGACCGACCCGCTAAAGTAAGAATTTTTCAAAATTGTACACTATTTTACTCGTTTTTAGTGTATAAATTTATATTTTCAGAAAATTTTTTAATGATATTGCATAATTATATTACTTTTTCCCCAAAGCATAAGCATTTTTAAATTCCTTATATTGATTTTTATATCTAAATACTACTTGAGTCTACAATAAAATAATTTTATAGATTTAATACTTTTTTTTTGATATTTTAAATTTATTAATGTGAATTTAAAAATTTAAATAACCAAAGTCATAACCCGTTGGGTCGACCCGAACCCGATGACACTGGGTCATGAACATAGAGTTCTCAACCCGAACCCGAATTGACCCGAATCCGAAATAACCCGAACTTGAAGTGACCGAACCCGAACCCGACCTGACTGACCGATTTGCCAGCTCTAGTTGTCCTTGTCCATTAGTAAGACAAGTCATTCCCATATATATATATATATATATAATTTGTAGAATTAAATTTATATTATGAATATATTTGTCAAACTCACGAATTGAATACCCTTGATTCATATTCGTATTCGATAAGGATTCGAATATTTATTCAGATTTGTATTCGTATTCGGATTTAAAAAAATCGAATACGGATCACCTCATACAAATACGAATCACGAACCGTATTAAAAATATTCGATTCATTTACAACTCTAGTTTTGGAGAAATGGGTTTAATAATTGAGTTGGTTTTCAAAACTCTACTCTCAAGTAGATATGATCAAAAGGACCAAATTATTCCTTGAAAAGATAAGAACTATTTAAGACGAGATCTATCTAGTCATTTTTTGGAATCATTTCAGATTATTTCGTATCCATAAAAAGGTAGGGAATTTTAGGGCAACAGGTAATCTAGTTAGGACCTGCGTAAGAACATGTTCTATTTAACTTATATTTTTTTGCACAAAAACACAACTTCATTCCACAAACAATCAGAGTACACAGGATTACTACCCCCAAACTAACTCAACCTCTTGTATACAAAATAGCTACGAATATAACTATGAGCAAACTCAACAGATTCATCTAAGGTACATCTCTTTTGATGACAACACTGGTTCCTAAACCTCCAGATGCAATACATACTGCCTGCCCATATTGCACTAAGTTGTTGCCTGTTCCTCTTCAGCCCCTTCCTCTGAATGATGCCCTTTAGCACCTGGTGACTTGTCATCCCCTGTATGTTGAATTTAGACATGCATGATTTAAGTATATTTTGACCCACATCACACTCCCAAAACAGATGTCTATCTGTTTCCTTTGCTTGTCCACACAGAACACAGTTCTGGTCAATCTCCATATATTTGCCCAGCCTCTCTTTGGTCTGCAGTCTTCCCTTCATAAGCAGCCAGCTCATACACTGCATTTTAGGTGGAGTAATAGAATTCCACACTGCATCTTTCCATTCTGGGATATCCTTTGTGCCTTGAAGCCAATCATACCCATCCTTAATTTTGTACTCCAGGACCTTTGGCATATCTTTAAACTTTTCTCTCACTTTTATCATTTCTGTCCAATAGTGACAAACATCCTTCTTTGGTTTGTATTCCCAGTAGTCAGACCCCTTTAAGTATTTACTATGTATCCACTTCACCCATAACACATCCTTCTTTCCAGCCACATCCCAATTTAACTTCATTATGGCTGCATGATTCCAGTTTAAAGCATTCATTATCCCCAGCCCTCCAAACTTCTTCTTCTGGCACACCTCTTCCCAGTTAACCAGAGGCACCTTAGTATAATTAGAAGAACTCCCCCATAAAAAGTTCCTACTAATTGCCATAATCTCTTTTTAACCCTCCTAGGTAGAATGAAAATCCTAGACCAGAAAGCAGTAATCCCCATCAGACCAGAAATTATGATCCTCACCCTTGCACTATATGAGAAATGCCTAGTACTCCAAGCTGTTATCTTACAGGTGAGTTTATTAATCAAAGCATCACATTCACTCCTCTTCAGCCTGGCTGTTGTTATTGGGCTTCCTAAATATGTAAATGGCAGTTCTCCCAGTTTCATGCCAGTAAGCCCCAATAATTCCTCTCTTTGCTTCTGGTTAACCCCTCCAAAGACCACAACAGATTTATTTTTATTTATGCTCAGGCCAGTATCTAAATAAAAATTATCCAACACCCTCATAATACAGTTAATAGAATCCTTATGAGCCTTACTAACAACTATTAAGTCATCAGCAAAACATAAATTCACAATCTTAAGTCCCCCACACTTTAGATGATACTTAAATCTCTCTCTGGACAGCCTCCTGAAAGCCCCTTGTCAAGTATTCCATAACCAACACAAAGAGGAGGGGGGAAATAGGGTCCCCTTGTCTCAACCCTTTAGCCCCTTTTATATAACCATACTGTCCCCCATTTACATTTATAGTATAAGTAGGGGTAGTAACACAGAACATAACCCAATTGATAAATATGTCGGGAAAATTGAGGTATATCAGCATACCTTTAACATCCTCCCAACTCACTGTGTCATATGCTTTTTGAATATCCAGCTTCATCATACATCTTGATGAAATGTTCTTCCTGTTGTAGCCTTTAGCAATTTCCTGACACATAAGAACATTGTGAATTAGCTCCCTCCCCTGGACAAATGCTCCCTGGTTTAGATTAATAATGTGGGGTAGGACTTCCTTCATTCTTAAACAGATCATCTTTGAAATTATTTTGTAGACAGTATTACAGCAAGCAATTGGCCTGTAGTCCTTTGGATGTTTTGGATAAGAGATTTTTGGGATTACAGTCAACACAGTATTTAACTTATTTTTAGTATTTATTACTTATTCTCATTGGAATCAATTCAATTTAGATCAGATTAGATCAGACTCAATCAGAAACTGTAACACCCGCCTTCCGCGGACCCGGGTCACCCGCGACCCAACGGACCGGTAGGGTTACATGGGCGGTCCGAGAACCGTCCGTAGAGAAAAACGCGTTAATGACTATTTATTATGAAAACGGTTGTGTTTTAATTAATGAAATAAATGCTAGGGAGTTAACCCCATAACGTGTGTGATATAAATGCAGAGTAAAAGCGGAAGTAAATAAATGAGTAAAACGACAAATGGTGGGTTCATGCCCAAATAATTAATTAATTAAATGTATTTAATTATTGAACTTGTCCATGCGCCGCCCATCTTTCCACCATCACTGTCCTCTAGGGTTAGCACCTGCACCGTCAAGTCTACCTGCGTGTAGCAAAAACAACTACACGTTCAGCAAAAGCTGAGGAGTGAATCTAACAAAAGAACATGAAGTGATAACCCATATGGTTATACACATATAAATACCTATACTTAACGTACGGAAAACCACATGTTTGCTATCTGATTAATTTGCACTTGATGGGATATTATTACACATAACAAAATGAATAACAACCACATTGAATATGGACATGATGGGAATCATACATGATGATGACAACCACATTGAATGTTGACGTGACATGAGACATACATGATGACAATATGACTTGAGCTATTAGGGACACCCCTGACTTAGTCTCACTTGACAGGATCACCCCTGCACTCCGGTAATGACCCGGGCTCGACAAAACATCGCAAGTGAACTAGCAAAAACCGGGTGGTAGCCGTAGCCTGACTACCATGTACGTAAACAAAGCCCACCTGATGAAAACCCGTTGGATCCCCAAAGGTTCCTGGACGGGCCCACTGTAGTAGGCGCACGAAAGCCTGACCTCCCTACAGCGGTATGCACATGATGATGATCCTAGTACATGCGTCTAGAATGAACATGATGAATGCTTGATGTATTTACCTTTGGTCAACGCCAAGAATATATCAATTAAATAACACACATAATGAATATTAACATTTCATGCAAACACACAATCAGATTCCGAGTCAAACTGGTCAAATGGGGCTCCTTCTACAAACTGCCCGAAATCTGCCCGCGGAACGGTCGACCGTACCCTACCGGCGGTCGACCGTGGGCTATGGTCTGGGGTCTGGGTCACAGACAGTCCACCGTGGTCTTCCGTTATGGATGACGGTCGACCGTACCCTACCGGCGGTGACCGTTGGACTGGCCGAGGGTACGGTCCACCGTCTGAAGTAACGGTCGACCGTCCCGGTGACAGTCTTCTGTCTTTGGCTACGTTTTGATCCATTTTGCAACCTTAACACCTTGATTCTTTTTAGAACAATAATACAAACATTGATGAATATATTCCTAGTGATTCCTAGGCCAGTATTTATAAGTTTTACGTAGTGAACGTTTTGATGGCTAACCTACGAACATGCATAGATTCTACGTAGGTTGCGTACGATATTCCTATGAATATAACAACATAGATTATAACTTGATGTTCTAGAATTAGAGGGGACAACTACTCACCTCTAAATGAAGGGGTTCGCGGGTTGATGAGATGTGACGAACGGACGAACAATGGACGACGAACAACGTACGCTTCCCGTGTGAACTCCTCCTCTTCAACCTCCTCGTCTACTCGCCGGAGAACCTCTTGGAGCTTCTACTGGATGGCCGAAAATGCAAAGGGGAAGAGGAAGATGGAGAGTGAATGTGTATGTTGATTGATATGGGGGGTTACAAAATGTGAAGGAGGAAGGGAATGGGTTGGGGATTATATTGTGTTTTAATGGGAGATTAAAGAAGCTATTGAATGGACCATGATGGATGTGGAGGGGGCCGAACCAAGGGACATGGGGGTTACAAATGTTTATTTTACTCCGTTATGTAAAATTTGACCTAAATGGTACGCGCTTTTTCCCCTGAACGGGTCCAAATTGAAAACCGTTTACGTTTTTGGAATCTGACAGTCAAAAGAAATTTAATGACGTGTTCAAATAATTTTTCTAAGAACTTTTTATTTTCCCCAACTCTGGACCAGAACAGTAATTAATTATTTAAAATAATCAATTCTAATAATCAATTCTAATAGACCGGGTTTCATTCAAATCAGACCCGAAATTATTCTCATTAGATTAAAATCATTCAGATCAGATTACCAGAACAAGTCCTAAGATTGGTCCAGTCATTATATGTAAAACTTTTATCTTTTTGTACTTTTAAAAAATAAAAACAAATTTTTTTTTCTTTTGATTATTTATTTATTTATTTATTTCAATGCTATTGATTCGATTACATAGTTTTTCTATGTTTTTTATATATAATAACTACTCCCCGTCCTAAAATTAAAATCTTACTTTCCTTTACGGGATGTCCTAAAATCATCTTCTCACTTTCAAAGAAAAAGCATGTTTTCCCTTATTAAGAGACACAAATACCCTTACAATTAAATCTCCAACCTCCAACCACTACCAACCCACATTTAACTAAAAAGATGGTGTTCTCTTCGATTGATCTGATCTGAGTTGAATTTTCTAAGGCTAGTTTGATCTGAGCAAATCTAATCTGATATAATTTGAATGGATCTGATCTAATCTAAATGGATCTGATCTGTTCAGAATGGATATGATCTAATATCTATAGATATAATTCAAATTCAAATTAGTAATAGTAATAATAATCATTATTAATTTAATAGTTTTAATTATTATTATTATTAAATATTATTATTATTATTAAGTTCTATTATTTTTATTATTAAGTGTCATGATTAATGATGATGATTATTATTAATGATTATAATTATAACTAAAATCATGATTATGTTTAAACTCCATTATTATTATTATTATTACTATTATTATTATTATTATTATTATTATCATCATCATCATGCTTAAAAATAAATAATATTATTAATTGTTACTATCATTACTATTTAATTATTATTAGTTAATAACAACAATAATTATTATTATTATTATTTAATGATTATTATTATTAATTACTATTACTTTTTTTAGTAAGTATGATGATAATAAATGATTATTAATTAACATTATTGTTATTAATTTATAATGATAATAATAACTAATTATTTTATTATTGTAATTATTTTTAGTTATTATTATTTTAAAATTATTTATTTTCTAAATAATTTCCGTGAATTGAATAGATGTGATGGTCTAAACTAGTCTGAATCAATATGATCTAATTTGATCTGAATGCAGCTGATCTGATTTGATTCTGATAAAAATAAGCAATAGGTAGCATACATAAGTTGAAGAGAACGAGACCTAACTCACCCCATTATTAGCTGATCATCTCATCTACTCTCTCCTTTGCACTTTTGTTCCACCAAGAACCCTAAGTCAAATCTATATCCCGTTTCACCACCCTCTCATGAAGCTGGTATCCCGTGTTGGAAATTTTAAAGTAAATTGGACTTTTTTTCAGACATAAATTCGGTTGGGTCCACAAAATTATTTTCCAAAATAATTATGGACGATTAATCTCGTAAGTAAGACGAACATCTTGATATATGACATGTCATAAACGGTGCTCCGGTGAATGAGAAATTAATTCTCAAAGTTGAATGCTAAGGTAGAGTAAATGCCTTTGTCCCACACCGGTTATGAAAGGAACAAGAAGAGGACTCCTCGCGCACCCGCCGCCGCCGCCGCCCGTCCGGCTCGGCACGTCACGACACGCGCGCGCGTCGCGGCGGGGCGGGGCGTGGTCTTTCGACTCTTTGTAATATCAGATGTCCAGCGAAGGGTCCAAAGTTGCTCTCCTATAAATGGAGGGCTCGGGTGCAGAAACAAGACACTCGACACACTCGAAAAACAACTCTCTCTGCAATTCTAAGTTTCTGACTACTCCCCATCTCTGATCATCCTCTCCGGCGATAACTCTCCGTCATTCTCGTTCGTCGGTGCTTTGTTCTACCGCTCTAGACCTAGCACGAAGCGGTTTTATCCTGGGAGGAGATTGCCCACGTTAGCCAGTGCGGGAGGCGGGCAATACTACCTTAAGGAAAGCTCCGGCGACTCCGCTTTCCTAAAGTTTAAGTTTAGTTCGACAAATTGCTCCAGCAACAACCTACCATCCGTTCGTGTTTGTGCAACCGTTCGAGCTTCCGAAGAACTCCTTTTCTTTTTCCTTTTAATTTCTCTTGTAAAATCCGAACGTTTTATAAGTTCGGGTTAATATCATTTTTTTATTTTCCCGCTGTAAGGTCATCATCCCGCACCCTCTCTCTCCACTTTCACCCATGATTCCTTGAAGGGCTTGCACTGGAGTGGAAGAGGACAATGCTTCCCTCCTACCAGCTAGTGAGTGTATTTGTCCCAAATAGTGAGGGTGAAGAGGATGCCTTTGTCCTTGTTTTAGCCATCATGCTGACATAGTTGTCCATGAGGATGAAGAATTAAGGTGGTGAGCAGATGCACGGGCTTGAGAGTGAGGTGGCAATTGAGAAAGAGGGTGGCATGGTTAAACAATTGCAAGTGTGTCCCCACATCAAGGATTATGATTTGAAGATGTTGAAGATTGTAAACTTGGGACGGGACTCTAATATCTCTACATCAAAAGTGTCGTAATTAAGTTTATCTACCATTATTCTGTTTTTTACGAAGTACTTAATTTCTGGATATGTGATTCATGTATTGGTTTGCTTGTTGTTGTTTTTTACGAAGTACACCTATGTCTATTTGCAGTATAGTTGGTTTGCTTGTTGTTGTTGTATTCATATGCTTCATATGGCATTTGCATCCAAATTCAAGTAACTTCTTGTTCATATTTCTATGAGTTATAGGCTTCCAAAGATGAGTAATTTATTGATATGAATATGGTGAGTTTTAGGCATTCAAATCTAAATACTTAGAATGATGACTCTCTGAGTCATGTTAA